GGAAAAACCAAAAAAGATCTGTCTGTTTGTTTTAGTCTCATTCAAGCCATGGAGCACAAAAACAAGCTCACTGGAAGAGTTCTCCATCTGAGTCGTCTTGATGTGACATTCACAGGTACTGAGCTTCTTTCTTACTGCGTGTCTGCGACTGTGCTGCTGTGAAGAACCACAACGCTGTACAGTCAAGATAAATGCTGCCTTTTGTCTTATCATATTATCTGCCTGTAGGACTGAGTCAGAAGGATCCCGTTCTAATTGTCTGATGCATTAACCTCTGCCAGATTACATAGTATTACCATGTCCTCCTCTGTATGGCTGTTTGATGCCTCTGTCAGTTCAGCAGACCTGTAGGCCTTTATATGCTTCTGGATTCTGTTGTTTGGCTTCTGTATCTACTACATTGTTACAGAAGAATGACAATCACAATCCTAATTAGCTCCGCAGGGAATTTGCATAGATGTGGTCATTTAGGAGAAGAGCCTGAACCACAGCTGATTTTATCGTGAAATAATAGAATAATTTATTTAATCATTTAAAATGATGCCACATTAATGTCAAAATGTAAACCTTTCAACGAGAATCCATTTTAAGTTAGAAACACTGTCAGTGTGTTACTTCCTCTAACAATTATTTTACGAAATCTTGTCTCTGACAATGTTTTATAAAAATTTTTTATTAAATGGCAATTTTAAAAGAACTGGATTATGTGACTGTGTTAGAACAGAAAACAGGACAGGATATAATTGGTTTGTAACATATTTAATAAGCAAGAAATGTCACGATCTGCACCCGTCTGCCCCCACCTTTTCTGTATCCTCCCCTTTTGGCCAGCAGGTGTCGCTGACTGCCCTGTCCTCCCTGTCCTCCAAGTCCTTAGTGTGTTTCCCCAGCTCCCCCGACTGCCGCATGGCTCTGTGGGCTGAGTGTGTGCCTGTAACCCCTGTACTTGTGACTTTGAACCCGGTTACCTGTTTGTATCCTTCTCCTGTTTTAGTTTTGACCCCTTGTGGTGTTTTTTTGTTTTGTAGTGTTTTCAGTATCTGTAATAAACTCCTGTTTGTGGAGCCGCAAGTGGATCAAAACCTTTTTCATGCCCTGAGTCTGTGACAAGAAAATCATGAACAATAACAAGAACTGAAAAATATTTGCATAACACGTTTCTAGACCCTGAATTTCTCTTGTGCAAAAAGCAGTTACATT